AAAGATATTTTTTTCATCAACTTGTTTGTGTTTTTAGGATTTTGTTCTACAATGGAGAGTAAGAGTAGTTATGAGGACTCAAATAGTCATTTCATATTAGAGTTGCAAGTTGTTTAGTATTACATTTTTAAGTAGGGTGTATTCAACAATATGTGAAATGTTAATAAAAAAAACCTTACATAACGATGAGATCAATTTCTTTGTCAAAGATTATAGGTTTCAATAGCCTTTGAGAATTCTCTCCCGTCCTGGTGAGAGTCCTTCTCTCTCTTTGAGAGTTGCTTCCGCCGTCTGTGCGCGTCTCACTTCCGATTCCGCTCTCCCTCTCGTCGCCGGGCCTAGCTATGGCTAGGGTTGGTGGCAACCCCCTGTTTCCTTTTCTTTTTCTTTTCTCCTACCTGCGTTTTTCCCTGCTTTTGTTCCCGATCTCTTGTCCTCCATCCCCTCTTCCTGTCCATTTCCCCAATCTGAGCCCCAAATTCCGATTCCCTTTTGCTCCTTCCATCTCTGTCTCTTCCCCCTTCATTTTCGTCCTTCCTTCTCAGACCACTTCGCCCCCTCCCCTTATGCAACCACGATCTGCACTCCCATCTTCTGACCGCGGTGTGTCGCAGCTTAATTGGAAGGTGAGTAGAGCTCTTGCTCGGGTGTTCACACCACCTCCTTCCTCGTCTTTGCCCTTCTTGGTGCTCTCTCTGATGGGGTGTGTTTTCCCATCGGGTTCCTTGGATTTGTGGGAGTGGATTTTGTGGTGTTGTTTGCAGGTGCTGGTGCAATAGTTTCCTTCATCACCGGGGTTTTGATTGGTTGGTTCGCTGGGCAGCAGGTGATGGTGGCGTTGGAGCTTTCCTACGACGGCGGGGACCGTACGGTTCTAGGATGTTCTAGCTTTCTCTGTGTTTGTTCTGGGCCCAAGTTGTGTTTTGGGCTCTTTTGTGTGGGCTTTTGAGGTCCAATGTTTTGATTTGTACTTATGTTGTTGGTGGACCTCTTTGTATCTTAGTTTGGCCGTCGGCCCTGGAATAAATTTTCCAGTTTTCCAAAAAAAATAAAAAATAAAGATTATAGGTTTCATAGCGAAAACCATAATTTAAAAATCCACAACAGACAAACGATCAAATAATGAGATGTGATTGAAACAAACAAAAAACCAAAGAATTAAACAAAGAATTAAACAAAGAATTAAGCAAAAAATAAAAAGATACAAAAGATAAAAAATAGTTTCAACTTTCTACGCAAGAAAAAAGGAAAATAAAAGAAGAGGAAGAAGAAAAAGAACGTTGGCCCTCCCCATACCACCCATCCAATCCCCCCCCCAACTCCAATACGTTAACCTAACCTTGAGATATTTTTTTTATTTCCCTCTCAATCCAAAAAACAAAACGCCATTAAAACCCCAATTTTGTCACTCTCTCTCTCTTATCAGACCAGAAGCGACGACACCACAAAAATTATGGAGGGAGCAACTCTGCTTCGCTCTTCTCTCGCCTCCAGCAACCGCCTCTTCTTCTCCTTCCGCTCTTCCCGCCGCTTCGCCCTCCCCTCATCTCGCTCTTCTTCTTCCACAGCTTCTGCTGTAAGAAACCACCGCCACCGTCCGATTCTCAACCCCCGCAGACGCTCCCTGCTCCACCGCGCCAGCAGATTACTCCCCTCCTCTGCCCCCAACGTCGCTAGAAGCTTCTCCTCCCTCTCCCCGCGTGCAGTCGCCACCCCCTTCACTCAGTCCCCTTCAGGTGCATTTCCTTGTCAAACCCCTAGCTACCCAATACCCGTTTTTTAATTTTGTGATTTAATTTGGGTTTTTTTTTTCCCTCGTGTGTGTAGAGTTTTCTGGGGTGCAAGATGAAGTCGTGGAAAAGCTCGGGTTCGAGAAGGTCTCTGAGGAGTTCATTGGAGAGTGTAAATCCAAAGCTTTGCTTTTCAGGCACAAAAAGACCGGTGCCCAAGTCATTTCGGTGTCCAACGACGACGAGAATAAGGTTTTCGGCATTGTTTTTCGGACCCCTCCGTGAGTAATCTTGCTAAATTTACCTCCTTTGTGAGGATTTAGCTTTTTCGAATTACAGCACTATATTTCTGCCCATTATGTGTTTAATTGGTTTACCTACCGAAGAATGAAGATTTGTCATGTAAATCAAGTAGCTTGAAGTGATTGCAAAGGCCCCTTTATTTTGTTGTCGATCAAGATATTTACTCTTGTTTATCTAATTCTTGATGCAGGAATGATTCCACTGGGATCCCTCACATTCTGGAACACAGTGTGCTGTGTGGATCAAGAAAGTACCCTTTGAAAGAACCATTTGTTGAATTGTTGAAAGGGAGCTTGAATACGTTTCTGAATGCATTCACATATCCGGATAGGACTTGCTACCCAGTTGCTTCCACAAATACAAAGGTAAAAATGAGTCGAGAATTGGAATGGAAAGGATATACACTGTGATATGTGTTATATCTACACTGGATGCTGTACTAAAACACGTTGTCATTTTGTATCAGGATTTCTATAACCTTGTCGATGTATATCTGGATGCCGTCTTCTTTCCTAAATGTGTGGAGGACTTCCGGACTTTCCAACAGGAGGGTTGGCATTACGAGCTCAATGATCCTTCTGAAGATATATCTTATAAAGGTTGCCTATTAGTACTTTATAGAGATGCCTAGTTCTCTGGTGTTTTTTTGGAATTGCATTACCCTTGGAAAAGAAATTGATGTATCATGGTTATAAATTCCATTGATTTCCAAGTATTGAGCTACTTTTATTTCTTCTTAAATGATTTCTGTGGTTAATTTCAGGAGTTGTTTTTAATGAGATGAAAGGGGTCTATTCCCAGCCCGATAATATACTTGGTCGGACTGCTCAACAGGTAAGTTTTCTTTTCTTATTCTGCCCAACTATTTTAATAGTTTGGCATAACTGTAGCTTCAGCCATCTTCGATTCTATTCTTTCCCAGGGAGTCTGAATGATTTATGCAGCCCAATGGTACAAATCATATTGTAGAGGGTTTAATGGTACTATCGCAATGTGAACATTTACTTGAATTTATGTACTTGATCCAGTTATGTTGTTGTTTGAATCACATATCACAGAGGGTTTAATTGGGGCCAACTGTGGTAAGTTGTTGGGGAAAATTTGTGGCAGGCTGTAGTTTGATCACATCAGTTTGAGCTATAAATGTTTTATAAATCAGACAAATCATTTAACATTATCAGTATTCAATTCTATGTGGTTATCTGCTCAATACAATGGAACATTGTTTCTGGCTCCAAATTTATTTACCATTGCACTCACCATGTTGATACTAATTGGAGTTATGAATGTGGGAGTTCATTAAGGACCATTTGTTCTGGGGTATACGTTCTGGGGTATACACACTTACACAGCCGTCCATGTTATTCACATGTTAAGATAGAGTCATATGTTATCATGGATGATTATAGGACTTGAACATTTAATGGCACATAGCTTTTGTGAAGGACTAGAGTACTTGGTATTATATTTGACATCGCCTTTTTGTTTTTTTCCCTTCAAAATACTTTGATAGGATACATCTCATTTCCATTTGTAATTGTGTCATGTACATGTGCTACAGGCTCTTTTTCCGGACAATACCTATGGTGTTGACAGTGGAGGTGATCCAACCGTTATTCCTAAACTGACATTTGATGAGTTCAAGGTTTGTTGTGTTCACCAAGAAGAATATTTTTCTAGTCTTTCAGAATACTATATTAAAGTAAATGTAACTGTAACTGTTAACGTGTTGTGGTCGTAGTATATATTTCTTAAATTTTTTATTTGTAATCTTAGAATCTTAAATTTTTTATTTGTAAGCTTAGAATCTTAATTAGAGGTCGCACTTGGTGCGATGGCAAGTGCCTTCGCCCATGAGCGGTAGGTCTCGGGTTCGAGACTTGGGAGCAGCCTCTCCATAAATGGGGGTAAGGCTAGCCGACATTCACCTCTCCCAGACCCTGCGTAAAGCGGGAGCCTTGTGCACTGGGTACGACCTTTTAAGCTTAGAATCTTAATTCTTTTGTAGAATTTACAATTTGGCACATCATTCCTGTTATAGTCACATTCTGTGCAATTTTTAAAGAAATGCTCTGGAAAATTTCAGCATGTTGTCTTCATTGTATTCGGCTGACCAACCATAAGAAGTTCTGAACCATTTAAAGTATGCATTCCAATGTCATTTATTGTAGAATGATAGTATTTACAATTTTATTGCAAAAGGGTTTTGGACAAAAGATTTTTGTTGTTTGAGAGAGCTTTTTTGTCTGTCACGCATTGTGATTTCTAATAGGGTTTTTAGTGCTTTGATATTTGATATTCTGAATAGTAGCGCTGTAACTGTTCCCTTCTGTTTTCCGTGGTCTCTGTCTCATATGCATATTCATCTGAATGTGAACACATTCCTGCCAAGTTTTCTGATTCTTGTGTTTGAGTTTGCATATGTTGATTATATTTTACGTTTTTCTTAAATAATATTTAATTTAAATTCGCAAACATACTACAGGAGTTCCACCGTAAATATTACCATCCCAGCAATGCCAGGATCTGGTTTTATGGAGATGATGATCCAACGGAACGCCTGCGCATTTTGAGTGGTATTAAATCGGATCTCATTATACATGCATTTAATTACTTTGGTTTGCTAACTAGATTATAAGGTATGACTAATTCTGCCTTTTCCCATAAAAGATTGAGTGAGTCCTCCCATATAAGATTGATGAGAAGCTATAGTTCTATAAAGAAACTGTTGAGGATTCTAATCTAGCCACTGAAACCATGAAAATTATATGCTGGTTGCGCTAGTGTGTCTTGTTACTGTTTATCATTTCTTCTAGTAGTGTGCAATTTATGATTTTTCCTTTTCTGTATCAAGGTTACCAAACCTGCATGTCAACAGAATTTTCCTTTATTTCAGTTTTTTTAACCAATTTGGGTCGAAGAACTAAAATATAGTTACTAATCTTAGACAACGGAATAGATGTCAGTTGCAAAAAGCCATGAATCACTTAGGTTTTCATTTTTTTTGTCATTGCTTTTTCAGTTTGATGACCCAGAATTTTTTATAAATGATATATAAGTTTTATAGTGGGATATATCTCTAGCATCTCATCCCTCTTCTCTCCGGTTCACAGAGTACCTAGATATGTTCGATGCAAGTTCATCTCCAAATGAATCAAGAATTCAACCGCAAAAACTATTTTCCAAACCAATTTGGATTTCTGGGAAATATCCTGCTGGTGAAGGTGGTGACTTAAGGAAGAAAAACATGGTATGCCTCAATTGGTTGCTCGCTGAGAATCCCCTAGACTTGGAGACTGAGCTTACGCTTGGGTTTCTGGATCATCTTATGTTGGGAACGCCTGCTTCTCCATTGAGGAAAATATTGCTGGAGAGTGGCTTGGGAGAGGCCATAGTTGGTGGTGGAGTTGAAGATGAGCTCCTACAACCCCAATTTAGTATTGGGTTGAAGGGCGTTTCGGAAGGTGACATTCAAAAGGTAGAAGAAGTAGTCATGAGTACACTTAAAAAGTTGGCAGAGGAAGGTTTTGATACAGAAGCTGTAGAAGCATCCATGAATACGATTGAGTTCTCTCTGAGGGAAAACAACACAGGATCATTTCCTCGTGGTTTGTCACTAATGCTCCGGTCCATGGTAAGATATATATCCATCTTGAGTTTTGTTTTTTCCTTTTCTTTTTCTCAATAAAGTGTATGGCATCTTTTTTGGCCATTTATTCTTGATCAGAGACTAATATAAGTTTTTCTTTTTAAAGGGTAAATGGATATATGATATGGATCCATTTGGGCCATTAAAGTATGAGAAACCTTTACTGGCACTGAAAGCCAGGATAGAAGCTGAAGGCTCGAAGGCTGTTTTCTCTCCCTTAATAGAGAAATTTATTTTGAACAATCCCCATAGAGTTGTGGTAGAAATGCAGGTAATGAATTATATATATTTTTCCCGAGACTTTTCTTCCCTGTTTATTACTCCTAACAAGTAATTTCCTTGCCAGCCTGATCCAGAGAAAGCTTCTCGTGATGAAGAGTCTGAGAAAGAAATCTTGCAAAAAGTTAAATCAGGTATGACAGAAGAAGATCTTGCTGAGCTAGCTCGTGCTACACACGAGCTGCGACTGAGGCAGGAAACTCCTGACCCTCCGGAAGCTTTGAGAAGTGTTCCAAGTCTCTCTCTGCAAGACATTCCAAAGGAACCTACTCGTGTCCCCACACAGGTTACCATCACATTAAATTTCTTGTGTTTTAAGTTTCTGAGAATTTCCTTTTGGACTAGTTCCTTTGGAAGAAATGGATAACAAAGCACCTATCTATTAAATGTAGGTTGGGGATATCAATGGTGTGAAAGTTCTGCAGCATGACCTCTTTACAAATGATGTCCTGTACACTGAAGTTGTGTTCAATATGAGTTCACTAAAGCAAGAGCTTCTTCCTTTGGTACCTCTTTTTTGGTAAGATGTTTCCGGTGATTCACTCTAATGTATACATTGCTTTGGTTTGACATAACATGATGCAAACTTTTCTTGAAACAAAGGTTTACGTCTGAAAAACCTCAAAAGTAGAGTTTGGCTAATTTTCCATGGGATTTCGAGCATGTACTAACTGGTCCTCCCCATATTTAAATTTGGAGATTTAACAATTTTATCCAAAAGTTTTAATTTTTGAAACTCTCCCCTCTAGAAGCAAAATAAAACTTACTATAGCATCTCTGTTATCAAAGGTAAAGCACACAATGGCTAACCAATCTGGTATCTCTTTCCTCTTAGGCAGAACCATTCTTTAGATTTAATTGGCCATCGCTGATTAAGAAAAAGAAGTCTGAGCTTGATCCCCAATCCCGACGACTTCCCTTAAATTAGTCAACAAGCCATGCTGGTTCCATGCCCTTTCTCATTGACTCCTGTTGTTCTATTAGTCTTTCAGTGAAGAAAATCTGTAGTCAACTCTCGGACTCATGTCAGTCTTAAAGGCCACACTGAATTTTGTATAGCACATGAGCAATGGTGATAACTTGCATGTTGAATAGTGAGGAACACAGTTCTCCCATTCCTGACACACTTTTGGAGACACAAGAAGGGTACACATTGAAATGCATAGGAATTATGCAAAATTATAGAATGAGAACTTTCTTTTACTTACTGTGGTTATTGTGCATGCCAGCATACTCTTATATTGAAGTATACATTTATTATTTATTGATAAAGTAAACACACAAGACTACATGTTTTCGTGGACTACCCTGTGACTTTCGAATACGACACTCATGCTCATGCCCCTAATCACAGCGACAAATTGTATTTACGAAAGGAAAGACAATAAATAATGCATAACTATTTAGTGGCAAAGCATGGATAGCAGTAATAGTGTTGCAGCAGCAACGTTGCTTTATGAAAATTATTCACACCCCACTAAACTGCTTCTTTACTGACATTAATAGTGTAACCATAACCGTTGAGCTTTACAAGTTGCTTCCTTAAAGAATGTTATTTTCTGGGGTAAGTTAAGGAAATTAGATTGTATTCCTGACGGTATCATGATCTTCTTTTGACAGCCAATCATTGTTAGAGATGGGCACAAAAGACTTAAGTTTTGTGCAACTTAATCAGTTGATTGGAAGGAAAACTGGAGGAATATCAGTTTATCCAATGACATCATCTGTACGGGGCAAGGAGGAACCCTGTAGCCATATAATTGTTCGAGGAAAAGCCATGGCAGGACGTGCTGATGACCTATTTCAGCTGGTATACTTTGTTCCTTTTCTTTTTAGAGTTGGCCAATAAGACATTCCCGTTCATTACTTAAAGAATAATTAATATGAAGTGGGCTTCATGTATTTATTGCTTTTAACTTCATGACTTTTCACGAAGTTTACCTTGAGGCTTGAGTTGACCATATTCTGTCAAATTGGGAAATGCTTGTCACTTAGATGTAGTACATCACTTGAACAATACTTTGGCCAATAATATAAGCCTCTATATATGCTTTTGTATGTATTACTAGTGCTACGCATCAATAGGAAAGAAGAAGAGAAAGAAACTGATGATGAATGGGGTTGGTCCAAAACTAATTCTACATGAATAGGTGGAAGGTGCTGCAGACCAAGACGGAAGGACCCCAAGCATCTTGGACACATATGCACATGCGGGTTAGCTTCCACTATTTTTATCATATTTCCCATATAATATTATGGACTTTTTATCTTGTTTCGAAGTATGGTGGGATATTTCAGATTTTTTAACCATTAAATTTTGGGTAAAAGACTGTTTACTACTCTCATGTTTCATGGTTTTCAACATTTAGTACATCAAGTTTTTTTCATCCCAGAGTCATTCCTAAAGTGTAAATTTTGGGACAGTCTCATACATCCGTTAGTCAAACTGTTAAGTTTTCTGTTAACTGATGACGTGGCGCCCACGTGGACAATGACTGGGCGCCACGTGTCATTAAAAAATATTAATATTAAAAAAAACCCACCCCCCGCCCCCCGGCAAGAAGAAGAAGAAAAGAATGAGGAGGAAGAAGAAGAAAAAAAAAACCGAATAAGAAGAAGAAGAAGAAGAAAAGAAAAGAAAAAAAAAATGTGGGAATGGGAAGGAAGAAAGAAGAAAAAAAAAAAAAAAAACGAATCTGGGAATGGGAAGAAGAAGAAGGAGGAGGAGGAGGAAGAAGAAGAAAGAAAAAAAAAACGAATCTGGGAATGGGAAGAAGAAGACGACGAAGAGAGAGGGAAAAAAAAAGAAGCTAGGAAGAAAAAAAAAAACAAAAAAAAAAAGGAAGAAGAAGAAAAGAAAAAAAACAAAAAAAAACGAATCTGGGAATGGGAAGAAGAAGAAGAAGAAGAAGGAGGAAGAAGAAAAAAAAAAAAAGAACGAATCTGGGAATGGGAAGAAGAAGAAGAGAGAGGGAAAAAAAAGAAGCTAGGGAGGGTACAGGTTGCAGGAAAGAAGAAGGTTTTTTTTTTTAAATTAATATTTTTAATATTTAATATTTTTAATGACACGTGGCGTCCAATCATTGTCCACATGGAAGCCACGTCATCAATTAACAGAAAACTTAACAGTTTGACTAACGGATGTATGAGACTGTCCCAAAATTTACATTTTAGGTATGACTCTGAGACGAAAAAAATTTGATGTACCAAATGTTGAAAACCACGAAATATGAGGGTAGTAAACAGTCTTTTACCCTTAAATCTTTGTCCAAAAATGTAAAATTAAGAACTAACGGTTCATAAGTCTAGAGTGGTTAATTATTTACTATTTTCATTATTTACTATTTTTAATTATTTACTGTTTTCATTTCTAATTTATAACTTGTGGAAAGTGAAGACCTTGTTTTGCTTATTGAAGCTATGTATGGTTAACTAGATTACAATAATGATATTTAAACCCATAAAATTAGCACAGGTGTGTTCGCGTCAGGAATTTCCGTCGGGGATGTTTCTTGGTCGACGAGCACACAGCTCCCCTGGAGGTTGGCGCCGGTTGAGGGCTGCTGTCGAGCTTCTGCTTCACTGTCGGGCGTTGTCGGGCAAGTCTCGTCGGGCAAGACTCTTCGGGCAAGGCTCGTCGGGCAAGGCTGAAAGAGAAGGACAGCGTTAACTTTGAGAGGTGCCTTTGTGGGGCTTTAGGTGTAGGCCTTGAGGCTCACAATCAAGGTTAACTTTTAGGTGCTCAGGCGTGCCACTGCCATCTTTAGCATGGCAGATGTAAAATGGATGTCGCGTTTTAGTTGTATATATGTATGTATCCAATAAACCGTGTTAGTTATAACAGGTGCCTTTGTGGGGCCTTAGGTGTAGGCCTTGAGGCTTTCCATCAGAATCCATTCCATGCTCAAGCGTTCTATGGTAATCATAATATAATAGAAATAAAACTAGAGAGTAGGTCGATTACTTGCGCCCCAAGTAACTTCGGACTTCTCGTTTATCAAGGACTGTCGTGGATGGGTTAAGTCCACATAAGGTTCTTTTTTATGCCTTGAGGCCAAGGACTTTTAACTGATCAAACTTACATGCCCGAGGGCTTAGGACTTGGATCTGGTTTGAACACTGAAGATATATTCAAATCGGATTCAAGTACTGAGAAAGCCTTTTAATAGTCATATTGCTAGAAATAACTTGCATATAACTGGAAGTATACAACATATTAAAAAGAAAAAAACAAAGCAAAGAAGGTCGGGCAAGGTTAAACCTTATCAGTTAAGGTTGCTCGTCTTGTAGGTTCCTATCTTTGTAGTTTTGTCAAGGGTTTGAAAGCTTAGAGGGATAGAGAGAGAGATTACAAAAGATGAATCGATACTACAGCAGGGTGAACAAGGTAGCAGAGCTATTACAAAGGTTTGAAGGGAGGGTTATCCCGCGAGGGATGAAGGCTTGTCCCGAGAGGGATGAAGGCTAACTACAGCTTTGTTTTGAAAGCAAATCTGGCTTTGAGCAGAGTTTGTGCTTGCATTTGTTTGTTTGATTGAGTGTCTCTACTCCTGGTTTTTCTTTCTTCTTATATAGACAACTCGGCTTGGCCTTCTGTAGCAGCAGCCTTGCCCGAATGCGGTTTGAGGGTGATGACTCATCAACTATTTTACATGTTAATGCCACCGTAAAGTGCTTTATGGGCTGTGTAGCTGATCAGTCCACACCACTTGGCCTTTGGGTAGGTAAGCAAGTGGTCTTCATGAGCTGCACCAAGTCAGAAAAGACCTTTTTCTGCCTTTTGGGCTTTGACTGGGATCTGGCTATCTTTCCTTTTGGGCCAGCTCCTTCCTTGAGCCCAAAGTTCAAGTTTTGATCCAAACAGTGCCCCCTTCAATTAATATTTAGCCTGGAATTCCAGGCGCCAATATTGATTGAAAAAGGGTTTTTATAAAACCCACGAACCCCTTGCGGTTGAACTCCTCAATCCCCTGTATTCACAGCAAGAAATCCTTCTCTAAGGTTTTGCCCTCATCATCTTCCTTGGTATTCCCTTCTCGAACTTTCTCAAATGATTGCAGAATCTAGCCAAACCCAACCCTCTTACGAATCTGGCGAAGGAATTGCCACTCTGCGTCGTCTACTCAATGGGCTGCATCGCCCTCGGGCAGGTCTGCATTCCGAGCTTTTCTTTGAGGTGCATGGGGTACAATCATTGGGTCCCGCCTGGATTTCTCGAGTCCCTTCAGTGGTGGAAAGCAACATGCCTAGAGATAACTGGTTTTCCCCAAATCCCTACTCGGCTAGGTCGGGCATCTCTTCCTCCAAATGGTCATCATATCGTCGAGGCTTTCCTCTGATGAACGATCCTGCCTGGGCTCAATGGATTGATGATTTAGAGCCTACTTTTAAGAGGAAATGGATGAGTAATGGTATTTATGAGTTAATCATGCTTTCGAAGACCTCTATTATTCCCAAGCCCGAACTGCTTGTTTCTGCCCTCCTTTTCTGGAATTCGGGCACGAATACTTTTGACTTCCGTATGGGCCCCATGTCTCCCACCATTCTTGACATGGCTCAGGTTTTCGGCTTAAGGCCCTCGGGCAGGATAGTGGACGTTACTCAAGACTGGGTTCCGTCCTCTACCACTTGAAGCTCAAGTTCATCTGCTGCCTTCCTCTCTTTGAACTATAACTCTGCAACTTTCAAGAGTTATGGGACCTCCTTCAAAGGATTCATCCCCTTCGTAAAGGAGAATTTTGGGGTGGGCTCACCTCGGGTTGATAAAGATCAGGAGCATATGTATTTCCTCTTATACTGGCTCAACAAGCACATCTTCCCCAACAAATCTAAAGGGGTGAGGGTTGAATGGATCCCCTTAGTAGAAGCTCTTCACAACTTTGATGATGTAGTTACAGGTCCATTCCTCCTTTCCCATCTTTATCATCTTCTTTTCGAAATGACTCAAGGCGAGCCATTTGAGACCAACTTGAATGGGCCTATATGGATGATACAGACTTGGCTTCAATGGTACTTTCCAGAATTTCGGGCTGCAAATCTGGAGTTCCCGGAGGGTGTGGCCCCTGCCTGAATCCTGGCTGAAGCTGCCCCTATAGATCATTCCACATTTACCTGCTTCTATTTCTTCAGAGTTTGTAGGACTCGATCAGATTTAGAATGGGGTGCGTCGGTCTTAAGAAGATATCGTTGGTTTTCTGACCAAGTCTTTCAAGATGCCCCTGGCGAGGATGCTACCCCCTTTTGCAGGGAGATATTTATTAGTTGCATTCAACCGAGAGACCTGACCTGGGGAGTTCGGGGTAATAGATATGACCGAGGCTTGGAAGTGTACCATCCTAACTTTTGCAGCAGGCAGTTAGGATTTAGACAGGCCATTCCTGTCCCGTTCTTCGACTCTGTCCATTGTGGCACTTCATTCCGGTTACCAACTCCATCTGAAGTGACATTCCGAGCTGCCCGACGCAGTCTTGACGTAATGAGTCAAGCGGCCCGAAAGTCCATCATTCTCAATTTTGGGTGCACCTCGCTCTTCTCTTCTTGGTGGGAAGACAAATGGACTAAGAAGTATGAAGGAGATTTGAAAGAGACTCACGATCGCCCTTTCAACCAACTTTCACTTAAGTCATACCCTGGCTCGGGCGAACTTGAAAATTGGAAGGAGATGATCCAAGAAAAGAATCGGTCACTTCTGATAGGTACTTCTCTTTCAATCTGATTTTGCTTCCCTTCTGGAGTCCTTCTATCCTTACTTTTGCTGAATTCTGCAGCTCTAGTGGATGTTGAATCGGAAGTCATTGAATCCGATGATGACTCTGCTGATGCTGCAATTCTTCATGGAGCTGCCGCAGAGGCTGGGAGACGAGAAGCTGGGGAGGGTGCAGATGTTTCAGAATCCTTTGGGGATTCAGGAGCTGAAGAAACACCCGAGGTACTTATTAAAGCACCTAAGCGAAAGAAAGCGGATGTGATTAAGACTTCAGATCCTGATCCAGTACCTCTACCCAAAACCACACGACCAACTCTTACTAGAAAAAGTAAGAGAGCAAGAAACTACCGCTCCTCCTAAGTCATCAGCCCTATCTGCTCCAGTTCCTGAGGCAGGCAGAAAGAAGCAACAATCCTCAAGTGAGTTTCTGTTTTTCTTCATCAAACTGTTACCTTTCTCCTTTATCTAATTGTCTCATTTACCGGCGAACATGACCCCAAGCATCTAAAAGACCAATCCTTGCTTCTAAGGAGGAACCACTGAGAGCTGCAATGCTCAAAAAGGCCGAAGAACTGCAAAATACTGCCCTCAGAGAACTTGAGGTATGATTTATATATTTTTCTTTAGGCCTCTTCTTGCTCTCATATAACTCCAAATCTGATTATTTGACTCAGGCCGCAAGAAAGGAAAAGCTCTCTCCGCCGGAAGCCTCTCCACAATTTGCCCGAGAGACAAGCTTATCTCCCTCCCAGGTCGACCCTTCAGAGGTGCTTTTTCTTCTCTTCTAATTCTTGGATAACTTTCCAACTTCTGGACCTAATGTCTGAATATTTTTAGGCTGGAGCATCTGCTTCCTTGCCTTGTCATGGCCCTTCTCTAAGGTCTATGACTTATTCTACTACTCTGGACGCAACCCCTTCTTCTCAATTCGATCCATCTACAGGAGTTATGTTGCATTTCGTGGATGAGGATAGTAACTTGGTGAGTCACATATTCCATATTGAACTTCTGTACATTGATTCCCAACTAACTTTTACTCACGTTCTCTACAGCCTTCTCCGGTATATGAGCCACCTCCTACAATAGTGGTTTCAGATAATGAACCCATAGTCCCTGAGATCCCTGTAGCTTCAGAGGTAGCAATTTCGCGGGTATTTGCTTGCCCGACAGTTGATAAACCTCTTTTTCCTCCTCAAGACCAAACTCAGGTATGGGAGTATTTTCTTCTTGTTCTTTCTCTTATGCTCTACTTACTGATAATTACTGCTATCTCTGGGTACCTCTAGGGCACTGGTACAGGTTCAGGTGCAGCTCATCACTCTCCTACTGGTGGTGAGGAATTTTCCCGCCAACCAGGAATTAGTCTTCTTCCTGGTGAAACCCCAGGGCTGAGTCAGGTACATTTCATCTCTCCAAATCCTCTTTTGCCTTAAACTGTATTCAAATTGTCTTGACCTGGTCTTTTGGCTTTCTGCAGCAAGCTCCAAGAGAAACTTCCCCCCCATCTGGTCCGCAAATCAAAGCGCTCCCATCCTCACTCATCTTCTGGAGGTACTGCGATTCCCCCTTCTGGAATTGAGCAGATCGGGCAGGCAGAAATTGCCCCCTTAATGGGCATTCCTTCATTAGAGGAAGCTGCAGTGCAGGATCCTCCTCCTTTCGCATCTCCAAACCCTGCTAAGTTGCCCAGACCTTTCGAAGCACTTGGACGGCTTGAGACACGGTTGAAATCTTCAAAACAATCTTCAGCTACCCCCATTTCTTCAGAGCAACAGCGAGTCATTCAGGAATGGGCAAAGAAGGATTTCACCGCTTCATTCAGCCTCAAGGCTCTTTGTGATTTTGAGAAGATCATAACTGAGTCTTTCAAAGCCGGTCGGCTATCAAAACCTCAACATGATTCTTTTCTATCTTTCTTTGAGAACCTGAGAGCTCTTAGGGAACAATACCAGAGAGCGGACAGACAGGCTAATCGGGCAAAATGCTTCATGGAGAAAGAATCAAGCACCTCTGCCCAAGTTGATCGGTTGATGGAAGAAAGCTTGCAGACAAAAGAAATGGTCAGAGTTGTTACTTCTAAAATCCAAAAGCTGGAGGAACAATTGGTTGCTATTAAAGCAGAACAAGCAACTCTTCTAGATACCCTTGAAAACCAAATTGAGGGAATGGAGAAGTCAAACTCGGAGTTAGAGCGTGCCCGGTCTCAACTTGTAAATAACCATACTGTTTTGGCCGAACCCAGTAGGATTTTTGCCATTATGCAAACATATCATTCTCGAATAATCACCCTATGTGAAGATGTAAATTTTTTAGAATAGGATGATTTGTAACTCTTTTCTTACTGGAATGAACATGTGATTTGCTTCCTGCTCTGCTCTTTGGTACTGTTTTGAATTGACTTTGGGCAACTCTTTGCCCCCCTCATTTACTTTCTTCTTCTTCCCCTGATAACACCAATCTTAGGACCTGATCTTGGTCCCTTGATCCCTTTCATGACACTTTATTCATGCAAAGGTGTAGGGACAACCCGGGCCCTTTTCTTTCCCGACAGTACCAAATGGTGACCCTGGCTCTTGTAAAATGAGGTTGATCATATTGATAGGAGCCTCAGGGAAAGGGTTAGTATCTACCATCATACTGGCTTGGGGCGAGTCAAGTAACAGCTTCCCCTTCACTATAAGATCTTGTATCCAATCTCTAAACTGGACACAATTAACTATGGAATGGTTGAAGGTATAATGCACCTTACAATACTTTTTCCCCCTGAGTTCTTCCGGCTTGGGCATTTTTTTGGCATTGTCGGGCAAGATTACTCTTGCCCGTACCAGTTCTTCATAGATCTCAGGTGCCTTGGATAGATCGAACGAATAACTCTGGTATTTGGGTGGTTTTATGGGGACAAAACCACCATCGTTCATTACAACCTTCTGATCCTTGACAGGTTGGACTAGCCCCTTTACCGTCAATGGCTTGAAATGTGTGGTCATCTCAGCGGCACACACGTCCATATCCTCTTCATCACGGCCACCCTCATGCTCTGGCTTGGTTTCTCCCACTTCCACACGATGAATTGCAACCTTATTTTTGTAGAAAGGAGGAACTTTGGAAGTGTGCTTCACTTGTTGCTCTTCTTGCAACAGCCTCTCATACTTCGTGGCAGCAATTACCAATTCTTGCAGCTCATTAAATTGTGCATCATAAAATCTTTTCCTCAAAGGTAATTTCAAAGCCCTTTGAGCAATCGATATGAGCTGCGCTTGGTTGACGGGAAATTGGCATCTCATCCTTGTTCTCTTGAACCTCATCATGAAGTCCTCAGTAGATTCATGATCATATTGTTTGACTTCAACAAGGTCATTGATAGTCAATTCTGGCTCTATTCTGTAGAACTGTTCATGGAAAGCCATCTCCATTTGCCCCCAGTTGGCGATAGAGTTAGGGGGCAATAGAGAGTACCACTGAGATGCTAACCCTACCAATGAATTCCCAAACAACCTCAATTTGTAATTTGGATTGTCCTCATATGCCACGCAATGATTGGAGAATTTGAAAATATGGTCTCTGGAGGACACGCTGCTATCTTCACCTGTGAATGTTGGAAATGCGGGCATCTTGAAGTTGAGAGGGAATGGATTTAGCTCGTCAATATATTCAGGATAAGGTTTTTGGTAAGTGATCCTGAACACTGGGCGAGCTCGCGGTTGAGCATTTTGAGCAACCGTCCTTCTCAACTTAGCTAATTTCTCCATCAGTTGCTGAGCGGCTAGAATATCATTATGGCCAAGGAGAGCAGATTCGATTTTTAGGCTCCGGTCGTTGCCCGCACTTGCTTCCCTCCTTGGTTCGGGCTTCCAACAACTAGTTCCTTCACCTTTATTCACCAACGGGGGTGGCCTATAAGGTGGGGGTTATCTGAAGTAGTGGAGCCCTCATTTCCGCTAGTCTCTCCCATCATAGCTGGCATCCCGTACTTCGTTCTCTCTTGCTCGCTTGGCTTCCTATTATTGAATGATAATAATGGGAAGCTGGGAAGCTCCTTCTCCAGAACTGGCTCCATCATCGGTTGACTCCCTTTAGGAACTACCTTTTTCTTTCCCCTATCTTTTTCTTCTTCTAATAGTGGGAATAAGGGAATGATTGGTTCATTTCTCATAACAACTTGGCTCATCCCACTTCCATGAGCCCCTTTTAAAGTAGAAAACTCCAAATCAAGTCTTCTCTGTAGATTCCCTGTTAGTGTACAGAGCCTACTCACTTCTCCTTTGGTTTCCAAGGAGATTCTTTCCATGCTTTTTAGCACTTGGATCATAGTGGCCTGTAGTTCTTCACTAGTTCCCTTTCCTTCCGATCTCTCAGATGCGGTTGAGCTTTCTAGGACCACCTGTCCTGATGGGGAGGAAGGGTTTTCTGATTGATCTGCCATTTGTAGAAGACCTTCCTTCGGATTCTTTTTGCCAAGTTGATGGCTTTTCTTTTTGGACATGCAAGATTAAGAAGTTTATGATCCCACAGGGCATGCCAAAACTATGTTCGCGTCAGGAATTTCCGTCGGGGATGTTTCCTGGTCGACGAGCACACAGCTCCCCTGGAGGTTGACGCCGGTTGAGGGCTACTGTCGGGCTTCTGCTTCACTGTCGGGCGTTGTCGGGCAAGTCTTGTCGGGCAAGACTCTTCGGGCAAGGCTCGTCGGGCAAGGCTGAAAGAGAAGGACAACGTTAACTTTGAGAGGTGCCTTTGTGGGGCCTTAGGTGTAGGCCTTGAAGCTCATAATCAAGGTTAACTTTTAGGTGCTTAGGCGTGCCACTGCCATCTTTAGCATGGCAGATGTAAAATGGATGTCGCGTTTTAGTTGTATATATGTATGTATCCAAGAAACCGTGTTAGTTATAACAGGTGCCTTTGTGGGGCCTTAGGTGTAGGCCTTGAGGCTTCCCGTCAATAACTAAACCAGTGCTCGAACACATCACATTTGTTCTCGTGATTGCCGGAGTTTTCTAACTATTATACTTCTGATTACCCGAGTCCAAGAAGTAGAATGAACCCAAATAGGTGCCTTTGTGGGGCCTTAAGTATAGGCCTTGAGGCTTCCCATCAGAGTTCATTCTTATACTTAGACTCTTTAGATCGCAGAACGGAATGAATCCAAATGGATGCCTTTGTGGGGCCTTAGGTGTAGGCCTTGAGGCTTTCCATCAGAATCCATTCCATGCTCAAGCGTTCTATGGTAATCATAATATAATAGAAATAAAACTAGAGGGTAGGTCAATTACTTGCGCCCCAAGTAACTTCGGACTTCTCGTTTGTCAAGGACTGTCGTGGATGGGTTAAGTCCACATAAGGTTCTTTTTTATGCCTTGAGGCCAAGGACTTTTAACTGATCAAATTTACATGCCCGAGGGCTTAGGACTTGGATCTGGTTTGAACACTGAAGATATATTCAAATCGGATTCAAGTACTGAGAAAGCCTTTTAATAGTCATATTGCTAGAAATAACTTGCATATAACTGGAAGTATACAACATATTGAAAAGACAAAAACAAAGCAAAGAAGGTCGGGCAAGGTTAAACCTTATCAGGTAAGGTTGCTCGTCTTGTAGGTTCCTATCTTTGTAGTTTTGTCAAGGGTCTGAAAGCTTAGAGGGATAGAGAGAGAGATTACAAAAGATGAATCGATACTACAGCAGGGTGAACAAGGTAGCAGAGCTATTACAAAGGTTTGAAGGGAGGGTTATCCCGCGAGGGATGAAGGCTTGTCCCGAGAGGGATGAAGGCTGACTACAGCTTTGTTTTGAAGGCAAATCTGGCTTTGAGCAGAGTTTGTGCTTGCATTTGTTTGTTTGATTGAGTGTCTCTACTCCTGGTTTTTCTTTCTTCTTATATAGACAACTCGGCTTGGCCTTCTGTAGCAGCAGCCTTGCCCGAATGCGGTTTGAGGGTGATGACTCATCAACTATTTTACATGTAATGCCACCGTAAAGTGCTTTATGGGCTGTGTAGCTGATCAGTCCACACCACTTGGCCTTTGGGTAGGTAAGCAAGTGGTCTTCATGAGCTGCACCAAGTCAGAAAAGACCTTTTTCTGCCTTCTGGGCTTTGACTGGGTTCTGGCTATCTTTCCCTTTGGGCCTCCTTTTGGGCCAGCTCCTTCCTTGAGCCCAAAGTTCAAGTTTTGATCCAAACAAGGTGGATCTCACAGTAAACTATACGACCCACCTATAAGAGAGTTAGTTAGCAAGTGTGAATGTAGTGCATCCAAATTGAATTGATTAGGTTAGAGTATTGCAACTTTAAGATGCTGTATATATCGACAAGGTGAACAATTTTAGATTTAAGCAATTGGACTACTGGACTGTCCGCAGTTAGAGTACATACATCCTTTCATATGATTAGTTTAGGTTAGTTGAAAATTGTTATATAACTAGAGGTTACAGCCTATTTGAGAGTGATTAAGGTTTCACCAAACTCACTTGTGCCGCGTTTGGTTATAAAAAATAAAAATAAAAAATGTAAGTTTTCTTTAAATTGTAATAAAAATCACTGATAGAGAAATACATTTGAAAATAAGAAAATTACCAAGGGCTTCTACGCAACTTTTAAAATACCAAATTCACTAATGTGTAAATTTCTTTTTTGAGAAACTAATGTGTAAACTTCTTCTGAACGAGTCAATCAATTTGTCATAGGATGCGAATCATTTAGTGCTAATATAAGTAAAATGAAAATTGAAAATAGGGGCAGAATAATCAAGGAAATTAGGGAGGAGAACAAAAACCCAACACTTGCAAGTAAAATATTAATCACATTTGGAATTTGACTATTGAAAACCATTGACAAGCTTGATTTACTAATCAGATGTGATTTTCTCAGTAAATTGGAAACCAGGTGACATTTCTTATCATTGTGAAACAAGTAAAAAGAATGTATGTTTATGTTGACTCGTTGAGGGTTAAACAATTGATCATTATCAATTAAAACCAACTAAACAATAATTGAATTTGATATTGTTGATTGTTTGAACTTGCACGATCACTTACATGTATCAAGATCTTTATTAATTCACTGCTTTACTCCCAAAATTTCAGGTAATTATGATGGAGCCACTGGAGATGTAGCGTGTGATCAGTATCACAAATACAAGGTCTATACTCTGCAAGATCCAGTTCAATTTTTGTTTAGACGATTCAGGACTAGAAGGAGGAGGCATCGGAGGTTGATCATTTGGAGCTTCATTACGCGGTACAGCTCCAGAAGACGAAGGCAATAAATGCCTTTGGAACAAACCCACAAACCTCTGATGATCATGTAAAATCTGACCATCAGATTCCTTCATCTGGTCAAGCTTCCTCTTCATTCTTTGGAGGATTTTAGAGAAGAAATGAGTACGAGTAGCATATATCTAAGCTATAAAGGATATGTATGAATGAGCAAAGACTGCCGTAAGAACTCATGAAGGACAAACCGAAAGCTTCCCCATAACTGTAGGATTACATCAAGGCTCATCCTTAAGTCCTTACCTTTTTGCGTTGGTAATGGATGAGTTAACATGACATATTCAAGATGATATTCCTTGGTGTATGCTTTTCGCAGACGATATAGTGTTGATAGATGAAACTCAGGAAGGGGTAAATGCGAAGCTTAACCTTTGGAGAGAAGTGTTGGAATCTAAAGGTCTTCGCCTAAGCCGATCAAAGACATAATATATGGAGTGCAAGTTTAGTGCAAATGGAGGCCAAAATGAGTTAGGGGTGAGGATCGAAGATCAGGAAATACCAAAGAGCCACCGTTTTCACTACCTAGGATCTATCTTGCAAAAGAACGGAGAATTAGATGGAGATCTCAACCATAGAATACAAGCTGGATGGATGAAGTGGAAGAGTGCATCCGGCGTGTTGTGTGATCGTCGTATGCCACTGAAGCTTAAGGGAAAATTTTATAGGACGGCAATAAGGTCGGCGATGCTATATGGCACAGAATGTTGGGCGGTGAAGCATCAACACGTACAAAAAATGGGTGTAGCGGAGATGAGGATGCTTCGTTGGATGTGTGGGCACACAAGAAAGGATAAGATTAGGAATGAGGATATCCGAGGTAAAGTAGGAGTAGCCGAAATTGAAGGAAAACTGAGAGAAAATCGGTTACGGTGGTTTGGACATGTGCAAAGAAGGCCTACTGACGCTCCGGTTAGAAGATGCGACTACGGGACAGAGGTTCAGGGCTGAAGGGGTAGAGGAAGACCTAGGAAAACTTTGGAAGAGACTCTAAGAAAAGACTTAAAGTACTTGGATCTAACGGAGGACATGACACAGGATCGAGCACAATGGCGTTCTAAGATTCATATAGCCGACCCGACTCAGTGACTTGGATTTTTCAAGTCTCCAATCGAGAAGTTTTCCCCACTCGGGAAATTAAGGGAACACTACCTCAACTTACATGCTCCACTCACAAAGCTTCAACATACAAGCTTCAACAAAAAAGAAAATTCAAAGAACTTAGTGAAGAAGGCTTTGGTGTATTTAACACAATACGTTGAAATGAAACAAAGCTTATTTATTGATATCTCTAAGAAGTTACAAATATGTACATATACACGAGTCAAAATAAACAAACAAGAGGGAGCCTTCACAAAGGTTGCTTAGGAGAAGTCTCAGCAGTCGGCAGAGCCCCTGAAAGATAAGGCACCGGAGGGGGATCATTCGGAGCCTCAGTACTGGACAGCACCCTAGAAGGAGGAGGCATCGGAGGTTGATCATTTGGAGCTTCATTACACAGTACAGCCCCAGAAGACGAAGGCAATAAATGCCTTTGGAACAAACCCACAAACCTCTGATGATCATGTAAAATTTGACCATCAGATTCCTTCATCTGGTCAAGCTTCCTCTTCATGTTTGTAGCATAGTCATGTGCGAGCCGGTGCAACTGTTTATTCTCATGCTTGAGCCTTTTAATCTCCTGTTTGAGACTCATCACTTCAGCCGCCAATGATTCAACTTGGCGGGTTCGAGCAAATAGGCGTTGGGCCATATTAGACACAAAACCTGCACACTGAACACTGAGAGCCAGAGAATCCTTAACAGCCAACTCATCAGACCGTTTGGAAAGTAGTCTGTTATCTTTGGGAGTGAGAAGGTTCCTGGCCACCACCGCAGCGGTCATATCATTCTTCATCACGGAATCCCCAACGGTAAGAGGACCAGTAGGGGATAAGAAGGATGGGCGCCATATGTTGTCTGGAGAAGGCGTGGCTACCTATTCAACAAGGTTCAAGTCAAAACGACGGTCGGAGGGGCCAGACATTTTCAAAGGTGTTGAAGAGAAAAGAGGTCGGACAAATCAAGATCTTAGAAATGCAAGAAGGGAGCTTCTACTGGTGGAGATTCAAGTGTGCTTTGGAACTTAATACCAGCCTCTATAAAAATCTGCACTCGATGGAGTTTCAGAAATCGAAGAGGCGCCTGCTCAGAAATCGAAAAGGCATTTGCTTTCTCAAAAGCTGGGCTGCTTAGAGACCACGAGGGCCAATCTCAGGAATCGAAGAGGCGTTTGCTTTCTCAAAAGCTGGGCTGCCCAAAGACCACGAAGGTCGATCGCAGAAATCGAAGAGGCGCTTGCTTTCTCAAAGCTGGGCTGCTCAGAGACCACGAGGGCCGATCTCAGAAATCGAAGAGGCACCTGCTTTTTCAGCCTTGTCAGCACCTGTCACATGCACACTCAACTTTGCCGAAATTACGGGCATTCTGTCGAAGATTTCTGGTGAAGTAGAAAGCACATGAATGTTACTGTTCAATCATCCACTTTCCACACGCAACATCAGCTCACGGGTACCACAAATAACTTTGCCAAAAATCTCTGACAAAGTTTAGACACGTGAAGCTTGCAGCTCCCATTACATCGCTATGACCAAGAAGGGTAAAAGAATAGCAAAGAAACAGCACTAACAAAGTTTAGACACATAAATTTTGAAGGTCTAGCTACCATATTATTACCCACAAGGGTAAAGGAACAGGACCACTGCTGGATAATTGGAAAGTCCCTGTGTGTCAACCTCTGTGCTCCGTGGCAAGGTAGACTAGCAAACATGTCTAACCTTTACTCACATTCGAGAAAACACTCCCAACAAGATTGCTTGCTTCAAGATCGAAGAGGCACCGTCCTCCGAATCTCAAGAGCCAGACTCCCAACATGATTACTTTCTCAAAAAGCGACGAGACACCGCTTTCCGAATCTCGAGAGCCAGACTCCTAGCAGGATTGCTTTCTCAAAAATCGAAGAGGCACCGTTCTCCGAATCTCGAGAGACAGATCCCCGACAGGATTGCTTGTTCGAAAACCGAAGAGGCACCGCTTTCTCAACTTCGAGAGCCCCTTAGATAAAGCTTGTCTGTAATCCTCACACCGCTTTCTAAACTTCGAGAGCCAGATCTCCTTGGATAAAGCTTGTCTGTAATCTTCACACGTAACATCAGCTTTCCAGATACCACAGACCACTTTTTCAAAGTGCTCTGACAGAGTTAAAACACGTGAAGCTGGCAGCTCCCACTATCGTGCTATGACCAAGCAGGGTAAAAGAATAGTATTACTCCTTCTTGTTAGGGAGACTCCTATATATGTCGACCTCCATCCTCAACGGACAGGCAGACCTGCAAAAATGCTCAACCCTTCCTCATATCTGAAAGGGCACTCCCAATGCAGCCTCTCAAAATACTCAGCTTTCTTTCCCCCCGAGAATACCTCTGCAAACAAGCTACACCAGAGCAAGAATATCTCATATCATCAGGGTTAAAAGCAAGAGTATCCCATATCATGCTTTTTCCCTGTCTTTTCCTTTGGCCTTGTTCTTACCTGCAAGACAAGGAGAAAGAGAGCAATCAGTCAGCACTTGGAATCAAGCTTCCAGTCCGGAACTGACTGTCTGGAACCCCATTGCTCTCGAGTACTCATCTTCAACATCTTATGCTTCCCGAGAAGATACCACATCTGCCTGATGAACAAATAGGGCAAGTGAGAAGGATACAATGAAGCATGTGGAGACAAGCGCAACAGAACACGTGCCGATACATCCACTACTTTGTCAACAGCAAAAGTATCCCATATCAGCAGGGTCGAACGTACTCTAGATTTGATGGACTTGTTTTGACCCTCAAATTCTTCAGTCGGCCTTATACTCTGGCGGAAACAAGAAAACCCTCCAGCCCAGTTCAAGAATAAGCCTGTGGAAAGTTACTTCTTCAAAAGCAAAAGTATCTCATATCACTTTTTCTCCTTTTCTTCTCTTTATCCTTCATGCTACCTGCAAGATAAGGAGAAGGATAACAATCAGCCGGAACTCGAAATCAAACTTCTGATCTGGGACTGATTGCTTGGAGCTCTGATTGCTTACCTTGTCTGTCACCTCTTTCAGCAGATCCCCTAGCTCGGCGACTTGGGGGACTCCTACTACATGGTTTGTATCGTGCTTGACCAAGCCTGAAACTACAAGTAAGCGTCAAGTGAAATTGATACATTACCTTGTGCATCTCCACCAGTTAAAGATACCACCCCTGAAGGGAGGAAGAGTACTTCCAAAGAAGATGCCACATCTACCTATGAGACAGATAAGGCAAGTGAAGATGATACCACACTTCGGTACTTAAAAGTTTCGTGATTACGAGATCATTCTTCCACAATATTTCCTAATGTCATTTGTACTAAATCATTCACTTGTACTCACTAAAGAAGAGCTTGAACCTATATACTGTGTAAACTCTTCACAATTAATGAGAACTTGTTTACTCCGTGGACGTAGACAATCTGGGTGAACCATGTACATCTTGTGTTTGCTTCCTGTCTCTATCCATTTACATACTTATCCACACTAATGACTGGAGCAATCTAGCGAAGATCACAAACTTAATATTTAAGATGATATTCTTTGGTGTATGCTTTTCGCAAACGATATAGTGTTGATAGATGAAACGCAGGAAGGGGTAAACGCGAAGCTTAACCTTTGGAGAGAAGTGTTGGAATCTAAAGGTCTTCACCTAAGCTGATCAAAGACAAATATATGGAGTGCAAGTTCAGTGCAAACGGAGGCCAAAATGAGTTAGGGGTGAGGATCGGAGATCAGGAAATACCAAAGAGCAACCGTTTTCGCTACCTAGGATCTATCTTGCAAAAGAACGGAGAATTTGATGGAGATCTCACCCATAGAATACAAGCTGGATGGATGAAGTGGAAGAGTGCATCTGGCGTGTTGGGTGACCGTCGTAGGCCACTGAAGCTCAAGGGAAAATTTTATAAGACGGCAATAAGGCCGGCAATGCTGTATGGCATAGAATGTTGGGCGGTGAAGCATCAACACGTAGGTGTAGTGGAGATGAGGATGCTTCGTTGGATGTGTGGGCACACGAGAAAGGATAAGATTAGGAATGAGGATATCCGAGGTAAAGTAGGAGTAGCCGAAATTGAAGGAAAGAGGAGAGAAAATCGGTTACGGTGATTTGGACATGTGCAAAGAAGGCCTACTGACGCTCCGGTTCAAAGATGTGACCACGGGACAGAGGTTCAGGGCCGAAGGGGTAGAGGAAGACCTAGGAAAACTTTGGAAGAGACCCTAAGAAAAGACTTAGAGTACTTGGATCTAACAGAGGACATGACACAAAACCGAGCGCAATGGCGTTTTAGGATTCATATAGCCGACCCCACTTAGTGGGAAAAGACTTTGTTGTTGTTGTTGTATCATTATATCATGGATTATAGTTGGAATATGATTTATGCATGATCAAGTTCATTCAAACCATTTCAGGAAGATGTCCAACTAATGGTGGATACTGGTTTGGAGGCATATAGATTTTCCATCTCATGGTCAAGACTTATCCCATGTATGCATGATCAACGAATTGTAACTTAGATTAAACAAAAGAAGTAACAATTTCTTGTTCTTAGCTTTCGACGCACTTAATCAATATTCGGCTTGTCTCTCAGATGGAAGAGGACCTGTCAATCCAAAGGGTGTACAATATTACAACAATCTTATTGATGAACTGATCACCCATGGTAACAATCTATCTAAATTATGAACCACAGTTTCGTTGCTTATACTATCAATAATTGAGTAGCTATAGAGATCAACAAATCCTAATGTTGATAATAAATTAATTTGTTTGTTTAAACCAGGAATCGAACCACATGTTACTTTACACCACAGTGATCTCCCACAGGCACTTGATGATGAGTATGGAGGATGGGTTAGTCGAAAAATTGTGTAAGTTCCTAACTTTTGATTGATGAGTTTAAAATGGGACATGCAGAAATGGGGGATCCATGATGATTGTGATGGAACACTTTTGTGGATGCAGAAAAGACTTCACTACATATGCAGATGCGTGCTTCAAAAATTTCGGGGATAGAGTTTTGCATTGGACTACTATGAATGAGCCTAATATTTTTATACTTGCGGGTTACGATTTTGGATTTCTTCCACCACAGCGATGTTCTGCTCCATTTGGTGTCAATTGTTCTAGGGGTAATTCCTCAACAGAGCCATACATGGCAGCTCATTATACCTTGTTAGCTCATGCATCAGCTGCTAGATTGTACAAGAAAATGTACCAGGTAATTCTCAAACTCTTCGCTGTCAAGGGCTTTGAGAACTTTTATCTTTGTGATAATCAGTAGTACACAATAAAAACACTCATAAGTTAGACGCACGTCAAATTCCCTTAAAACATGATTTCTCAAACTCATAAAACAAAATACCAACACCCCTTTCTATTTATAGCAAGTTACATATCAATACTAGTAATAATGTAACATGAGGTTCCAATACTAGTAATAATGTAACATGAGGTTCCCATATAAACTTAGACTTTTCATGAAACAAAAATATAGGTTGATCAGAGAAATTTTTGAGATATGCAGGACAAGCAGCATGGATATATAGGAATCAATGTTTTTGCCTATTGGTTTGTTCCTCTAACAAAAACTATTGAAGATGAACTTGCCACCCAAAGAGCCATGGACTTCTACTTTGGTTGGTAAGTCAGATGTTGAGTACTCATCTTTTCATCTATATATATTTCTCACTTGTCCAAAACATAATGCCGTTTTAGGTACCTGTAATTCCAATGCGTGTGTTTCCTTTTGTAGGGTTTTGAATCCCTTGGTGTTTGGAGATTACCCTGATGTAATGAAAAAGATAGTAGGCTCTAGAATTCCTGTTTTTACTAGTCTTGAGTCCCGAATTGTCAGGGGTTCATTTGACTTCATTGGATTGAATTATTATAACATATCAAACATCAAGGACTACTCCAGCACTTTAAAGATGGAAACCAGAGACTTTATGGCAGACTCAGCAATAAAGATATTGCGTAAGTTTTTTCTTATACATATACGTATGTAGTGAAGAGGTCGCACTTGGTGCGATGGCAAGTGCCTTCGCCCATGAGCGGTAGGTCTCGGGTTCGAGACTTGGGAGCAGCCTCTCCATAAATGGGGGTAAGGCTAGCCGACATTCACCTCTCCCAGACCCTGCGTAAAGCGGGAGCCTTGTGCACTGGGTACGACCTTTATATACGTATGTAGTGAAATTCTTTCTGCATGATGTCCGCTCCTTAGTTTAATGACCGATGTGTCCATGACATGTCATTAATAATTCAGTCGATGAAATGTGTGAAAAAATAATTGACAGGTAGAGGAAATGTTGGAATTGTTTGCTTTCATTCATCAACGTATACAAGTTTTATAATACATTAACAACAAGAGTCCTATACGTGGTAAATTACATAGAGAATATTTTAAGATAATTACTGATACATTGTACTGTGGACTCTTGTCTAACACCTAGTTCGTGAACTTATGAGAGTTTATTCTTGTTTAGATGCTTAGCTGCAATCCTTTGAGCTTACAAAAGTTTGTTTAATTCCATTTGGAGCACTGGGCAATAGTACAACAACATATGAGGTAAAATCTTGAACATAATATAAAGTAGAACCGGCTCAATACTACTTATGGATTAATTTCAGAGCACTAGTGATCGTGTTGTTTGAATCAGTATGTAATATCTCCCTGGGGCCTGCAAGAACTGTTGGAATATATCAAGGAAAATTATGGCAATCCTCCTATATATATCCATGAAAATGGTATCTCTCTCTCTCTCGGTTTTTTTGTTGCGTGGAAAGTATCTCTCTGCATCATCCATGTGGTGATTTTTTTTTTTCTGTAAATGGATAGTACAGGGGTTTAAATTTTAAGCCAAGCAGTTCTATTTGAATGTGTAGTGTTGTATAACATGATAGGGAAAAGTAGATATATAGAGGGAGCTTCGATTGAGAGACTCTCAAATAAGTTTTATTTAAGATTTCCCCATAACTACTGACCATGCATGCGTTGCGTGTATTTTGCTTCAAACTCTACATTATATTTCCTGGTACTAGAGCTTAACTTTTGGCTCTTTCCATGCAGTAGTTTCCATTATCTGCTTATCATTTTCCTTCTTTATCTGTATTAAACATTAGGTCAACGGACTCGACGCGATTCATCTTTGGAGGACTGGGGCGGGTGAAATTTTTGCAAGGGCACATCCAATCTTTGCTTGAAGCTATAAGGTATATATGATTTATCTTGTGACCTCTCCATGTTGCAAAGCTAACTGGACGAGTCCAAATGAAAATGTTTAATGCAAGTGTTTATGTAAATATAGGGATAGTCAAGCTAGATATATTTTTCACCATAGGAAATACTACGTCTAAAATACTAATTATCCTATTTTACTTTGGAAGGAATGGATCAAACTCAAGAGGTTATTTAACATGGTCCTTCTTGGATTCTCTTGAACTGTTAGACGGCTATGAATCGAGCTACGGCCTATACTACGTGGATTTGGAAGACCCTGATTTGAAAAGACAACCTAAACTCTCTGCTCATTGGTACTCTCATTTTCTAAAGAGAAAAAATGTCATCAACTTTGATGAAGTTCTTACATCCATTTCCAATGGTTACGACATTCAGTAGATTTCATTATACACAGTTATATTCTAAAATGAACATGTTTACATTCCCATATGTTTTGTTATAATTCTTAAGTTATGTAACCTTCACTTCTTTTTTACATTCTTCGGAAATGTAATCGCCACTTGAAGTATTTTAAATAACTATTAGTCTTGTTCTCTTGTTAATCAAGTGACTAAGAATTTATGTTCATGTATCCTTGGATTTGATATCAAGAGTTAAGATTAAAACATTAAAATGCTTCTTTGACCCAAGTGTGGATCCATTAGGAGACCTATTGGGTCCGGGACCGTACGGAGCTGGAAAGGTCCTCTAAGAACGGGACAAGGATTGTCTGCCTTCCCACTTCCGGTGCCCTCCCGTGCCCTCCTGTTTGTGTGGTCATGGTTAAGCCATGATAGGAGCATATTTATGCGACTGAGTTAGCTTGTTCTCATGCATTTATGTTGTTATTTCTTAGTTAATTATGTATTTTAAGCTATTTTTGTGTGTTTGTAGGTCCATAGGCCTTATGAAGCAATAAGATGCATTTTGGTGCATTTTGGAGCAGTTTTGGGCTTGGAATGAATAGCACATGCATGGAGCAAGGTGGATGGACGAAATTGAAGACTAAAGAGGCTAGGAATGTGTTAAGGAGAAGGAAGAATTAATGTAAAAAGCACAAAGAGCTCAACCACAAAGGGGTGTCACTCCACCATTCACCTTTCCATCATTGCCGTGCACCACCATTGCACTCCCTTTGGACCCCTATGTTTTGCATCATCACTTCACTTTCACCTTTGAATCATTTCAGACACTACTCATTGCACTCAATTGCTACACCATTCTTTGTTCCCTCTATCATTTCAAATTTCATGCATCATTACATTGAATCATTGCACTCAATTGCTACACCATTCCTTGTTCCCTCCATCATTTCAGATTTCATGCATCATTACATTGAATCATTGCACTCAATTGCAACACCACTCCATTTTACCCCCATGCTTTGCATCATCACTTCACTTTCACCTTTGAATCATTTCAAACACCACTCATTGCACTCAATTGCTACACCATTCCTTGTTCCCTCCATCATTTCAGATTTCACCATTCCTTGTTCCCTCCATCATTTCAGATTTCATGCATGACATTGAATCATTGCACTCAATTGCTACACCACTCCATGTTCCCCTCCATTTCCATGCACTTCCTCTATGAAAGGAAGTGTGTGTAACATAAATTTAGTTCATACTTGGTTAGATCATTCACTCCCATTTCAACACAACCTTCATCCAAACACATCCATTCATCTTCACATCCATTCCTCCATACGAACAAACCTTCAAACACTCACCAACACCTTGTGCCGTAGCAAAGGAAGGGAAGGAAAGTGCTTGGACGTGTTTGCTGTCCAACTTGGATCGTTGGAGCGTTTAGATGTTTTCTTTCTTTTGTTTTTAATGTTTAAATTCATTTCCTTTCGTTTTGTTGTAAATATGAATGGCTAAACCCCTTTTGGCTAGGGGTGATTTCAAAGCCATGATTATGTGTGCAATATAATTTGATAAATTCCAGTTATGAACTCTTGAATCGTGAATGCAATTGGCTTAACTATTTGATTGATAACTTATTTGTATTTGTTAATTAAGGGTCGACACTTAATTGGCATGCATAAATCCGTTGCTAGAATATAAGGAAGTTTCACATAATCGTTACAAACTTATATTCACATGTAGTGAAGGTCGCTTATAAACGATCGCGTTAAGTTCAATTCCTAGCATGAGTGACATGATGTCATAGTTGCAAGTGCTTTGTCAATGCTTATGATTTTCATTAAACGTAATGATCTTTGATAGTATCTCTATTATGATGTCATGTATGGAACTTTTGAAGAATGTTTTGGGTTGTTGAATGATGTCATCCAATCCAATAAAACAAGGAAAATCTGAGAGTTAACTAGTGATGTCACGGTTAATTTGGGGCATTGTCATTCATAATTCAATGAAGTAGTAACTGGAAATCGAGTTGTTTGCATACATATCATGTGTGGAGAAAATGCCTCTAGCTATCTCATCCATCATCTTATTTCTCAAATTTGTTTTACAATTTGTCTAGTTTTTCATACTTGTTTGTTTGTTTCAACTTCATCCAAAACTCAATCCCCCTTTACTTTAGTGTGTCTAATTAGTTAGAATCTGTTTTAATTTGTGTTTTTAAATGTTTTGATTCGAGTAAAAGTCAATTTTCGTCCAAAGTCATTCCTAGTGTCTAGTTTAAGTTTATTTCACTAGTACAAAAACACGTTTGCGCGACGTAATTTTGCACGACGAAGGACGGCGTAGCACAAAGACATTTTGCGCGACGCCGTCCTTCGTCGCGCAAAATTTTGGCGCCAAACCAAAAGAATTTACCGCTTTTTCCCAACTTTGTGCGACGCATGCCCACCTACGTCGTGCAAAGTTGTTTTGCGTGACGTAGGTGGGCATGCGTCGCGCAAAGTCAACAACTTTTTTTTTTTCATTTGATCAGTTTGGGAGGCAGAAACTGCATATCCAGTTGCAGCAGCTACCTCAATCGTCCATCTCTCTCTTCAAAACCGTCTACCAGATCAGGTTTGAAGTTTGAATTGATATAAATTCTTTGTGTTTTTTCGATTGCAATCCTTCCCCTTTGCTCTTAAACATGATGTAAACTGAATTAATAATATGTAGATCCTTCATGTGATTCATTTACGAAATTGAAATTGCAAAATCAAAGGAGATAACTATTTTGCTGATTTTCTTTTTCTCTACACCAGATCTCTTCTTTCTGTAGCGACTTATTTGTTCGTACATAGGCTTATAAGGCGTTTTGATGTCCATTAGACATTTATATGTTGACGTTATTTGAACTTCAGTTTTAGTATGGTAACCATAACTTTTTCAACTGGATTGTACTAAAGTAATGTCATAAGGCATTTTGATGTTGAAGTTTGTTTGAACTTTAGTTTGTTTGATCTTAAAACCATGATTCTTTACTGTAAAATATAAAAAACAAAAAATTGTCCGCTGAAATAGATAAGAAATTAGATATACCAAACCATCAGTTTCTATATCCCATTGATTTGATTTGGCTTTGAGGTTATGTTGCCATTATGCTATTGTTGCCTAAGTGTCCGTTGTTGATAGACGTTGAACTCAGCAAAAAACTGTTGCTGGAACTGGAGCATCTCACAAAACGCTACAGAAGTATATCCCTTAAGAAGGAAGAAAGTCAGTCATTCAGATGAGTTGTAGCAATCTTCAAATGTCGAACCTCCAGGTGAAGAGGACCCTGAGCACAGCTTAAGAAACTGTTGAATCTAATGTGGATCCTAATGAACAAGTTATGAATATTCTAAATGACGTTTATCCATACGCCTCGAGCAACACCAATCAGGAAGGGGAAGAAGGGGGAGATGACGGTCATCCAACCCTGGCTGTTCGATTTGTCGTAGATCGAGGGAGGAGAGAAGGCCTCAGACGCCGGCTGAGTAGCGAAAGCGTCGTCTGTGGCGGAGCCGTGGAATATTGGGGAATCAGTGGCGGAGTCCTTGAGCGACTCGGAGTCGACGAAGGATTCGAATCGCTGGGAGAAGAGTCGGGGGTCGTAGCCCAGGTAACCGTCGTCGTCGAACGGGCGAGTTGACTTGATAGTCGGGATCGAGTCGTGGCACCGTAGTGGTAGCGCCGATGAAGACCACCATAGCTTCAACGAGAGGAGGAGTGCGCGGTGGAGTAGGTCCTGAGGAAGCGGTGGCAGGCGAGAGTCTCATCTTGAGAAAGGATGGATCCATCTTAAGAGAGAAGGATGGATCCTGGACAAGTCGAGAAAGGAGGCGAGAGTCAGTGGTAGAAATGAAAGGTAGAGATTTAATCTCCATATAATAAAAAATTAAAAAATTAAAAATAAAGAAGACTTTGCGCGACGTAGGTATGATTGCGTCGCGCAAAGATGTTTTGCGCGACGTATGAGTACCTACGTCGCGCAAAGTCTTCTTTTTGTTTTTTATTTTTTTTGTCCCCTTTTGCTTTTCTTTTGGGGTTCTTGTATTGCATTTTTCTTTTGTGGTATCCACTTGTGTAAATATTTGAAATTGACGATCAAATTAGTTCATTGTATTCATATAGGGTTAAAGAGTGTAGTTGTAAAAAATCATCAAAATCGGGGTTAAATTAACCGTTAAATCGTGATTTTTCGTTTATAGCCGTCGAAATATTTTATCCCGTTACTTGATCTCTAAATGTTTTTTTTTTACGATTTTTGGCGTATACGATCTCGAAGCATATACAAACAAGTTTGACGGTTTGATCGTTGAAACTAGTTTCGTACAATGCGTATCCCATCAAAACATTAGATTCACTAACACTTCAAGTTTATTTATACTTTCATTAAGTATAACATAAGATTTTATGGTATCCACTTGTGTCAATGTTTCAAATTGACGATCGGATTGGTTGATTGTATGCATATAAGGTTAAAGAGCGTAGCTATAAAAAATCATCAAGATCGGAGTTACAATAACCGTTAAATAGTGCTTTTTCGTTTATATCCGTTGAAATGTTTTGTCCCATTACTTGATCTCTGAATTTTTTTTTTCGATTTTTGGCGTATACGATCTCGAAGCATATAAAAACAAGTTTGACGGTTGGATCGTTGAAACTAGTTTCGTACAATGCGTATCCCATCAAAACATTAGATTCACTAACACTTGAAGTTTATTTATACTTTCATCAAGTATAACATAAGATTTGTGGTATCCACTTGTGTCAATGTTTTAAATTGACGATCAGATTGGTTGATTGTATTCATATAGGGTAAAAGAGCGTAGTTGTAAAAAATCATCAAAATCGGAGTTAAAATAACCGTTAAATCGTGATTTTTCGTTTATATCCGTTGAAATGTTTTGTCCCATTACTTGATCTCTGAATGTTTTTTTTTTACGATTTTTGGCGTATACGATCTCGAAGCATATACAAACAAGTTTGACGGTTTGATCGTTGAAACTAGTTTCGTACAATGCGTATCCCATCAAAACATTAGATTCACTAACACTTGTACTTTCATTAAGTATAACATAAGATTTTATGGTATCCACTTGTGTCAATGTTTCACATTGATGATCGGATTGGTTGATTGTATGCATATAAGGTTAAAGAGCGTAGCTATAAAAAATCATCAAGATCAGAGTTAAAATAACCGTTAAATCGTGATTTTTCGTTTATATCCGTTGAAATGTTTTGTCCCATTACTTGATCTCTAAATTTTTTTTTTACAATTTTTGGCGTATACGATCTCGAAGCATATACAAACAAGTTTGACGGTTGGATCGTTGAAACTAGTTTCGTACAATGCGTATCCCATCAAAACATTAGATTCACTAACACTTGAAAGTTTATTTTACTTTCATTAAGTATAACATAAGATTTTGTGGTATCCACTTGTGTCAATGTTTTAAATTGACGATCGAATTAGTTGATTGTATTGATATAGGGTTAAAGAGTGTGGCTGTAAAAATTCATCAAAATCGGAGTTAAATTAACCGTTAAATCGTGATTTTTCGTTTATATCCGTTGAAATGTTTTGTCCCGTTACTTAATCTCTATATGTTTGTTTTTTTGCAATTTTTGGTGTATGCGATCTCGAAGTATATACAGACAAGTTTGACGGTTAGATCATTGAAACTAGTTTCGTACAATGCGTATCCCATCAAGTTCAATGGTATATATATTTACAAAGTAGATTTTAATTTATTTATTTTGTACTTATAACACTTAAGAAATTGAATGATATATATATATATATATATATAATTATTGTGGGTTTTTGTTAGCAAAATATATTTTTGTGGGGTTTATTTAAAAAAAAATAATTTTGAAAGGAGGAAAATCATATTTTCAGTAATTTTTATAATAATTTTGTTTTTTGAAAAAATACTTTGCGCGACCCGTACGTCGCGCAAAACCACTTTGCGCGATGTCAAATTGTATAACTACGTCGTGCAAGTTGTGATAAATTTGACGGTACAACAGTGAAAAATGGGCGCTCTTTTTTCAATTATCCCCGTAGATCCCAGATCTTGAACCCTCCCTCCCAAATCTTGAACCCTCCTTTTTTTTTTTCCTCTTAGACCCCAAATCCCCCTCTCTTTCTTTCCCTATTTCTTTCCCCGTTGACCCCAAATCCTGTCTTACCTCTTGGGTTGTCGAACCCAGACCTTGAACCCAAACAACAGGCCACCACGGGAATCTCGAAGCCGACGCGAATCAAGTCCCAAAATCAAGGTAAGGGTTTCTGATTTTCGATGGGTTTTTGTTATTTAGGGTTTTTGCCACAAATTTATCTGTTACCAAATTTCTCTAATTCTGTAATACATTAATTTGAGATGCATACGAGGTTGTGATGGGTTTTTGTTTAACTAGTTTTCTTTTAGTTGGAGATGCATACGAGGTTGTGATGGGTTTTGTACCGCTGAAACCTAATTTCTCTAATTCTCTAATACATTAGTTTCAAATGTTTTTTTCCCACCATTCCTATAATCCCATATTTATTTCAAAGTATTTAGATTTCTGTAGCGAATGTATAGTTATAATAACTTATTTACAACTTAAAATCTAGGAATCAGAGGCTGTGAATGCCGAGTTGCCATCTAAACTTGCAAATTGTTGCTGCCATGAGGCTTGTTATTTATTTCTTAATACCATTTCAGTTTTCTACAAATTTTTATGGAGATTGCTGGCATTGGCTTCATGGTGATTATGATCATTGCAAGTTCTTTAATCCGATGTGAATAAGATGGCTTGATTATGTCTATTAAAACTACTTATTGGAGAAAGGTGATTTTGTGTTTTTCTGTTCTTTTGTTTAGTGGTATTCTCTCTAGCTTATTAACTTGATTACCACATCTATGTTAATTAATAGCTTATAGTCCTACATATTTAGGTATAGTTTACAAGATAAATTTTGTTTCTTTAACACCTTTGTATTCCATGTATTTAATTTGATGGCAGTAAGTATTGAGCCACGTTGGGCCACCTTTAATAGGGATATATGTGATTCCCGTACGTTGCAACGAGTGAAGCTGTGATATATTCTTGTCATTGTTTCCTGTTTGGAGTTCATCTCCTTGTTTCTATGTCTACACTTGTGTCGTGTTTTGTTCCGAACTACTTTTTGCTCTGAGTATGAGTCAAAGCACTCTGAAGTCTGTCCAGAGAGGAAGTTCTGAGGTTGAGATGTTACAACTATGTTCTAAAGTTTGTGTGGTCTATGTTCTATAGTTTGGGGTATTTATAATCGTTTTCTCTTATAGCTGACCAATTGATTTTCAGTCATGCTCCTCGGTCCCATATTTTTGTATGTAAATCATGTCAAACAGTTGAAATCACACCAATAATAGGCAGGCAACTCGTATCTATTTGATTTTCTTTAAGCAGACAATATGACCGAGTGAGGATACACTAGTTGAAAACATACAATATGTCCTGTGATCTTCAGTAGTACGAGTGTTGCAAAAGTTCGTGAAACAATTTAGGAAAATCCGAGGCTTTAAGTTTGCATGCGGATAGAGTTGGTTTTGTATGCTTATTTGAAGACCAAATATAACTAATATGTATGTTTATTGTGACTCCCACTGCAAGTAATTTAAGATAAAGACCGGTAATATATATATATAAGCAAAGAGTTCCTTTTTTCCCTTGGTGTATGGTTGAACTTCCTTTTCGTTCGCTGTAGTTTGTTTAATGTTTTGACTCCGTCTTTGTGCTTTCAATTTGAACAATGATACGAAATATCGCTAGGCGTGGTTACTAAAACATCATATTTTATTTACAGGATAAGTCTTTCATATATCTAGCTGGCCTCCTACAGGTAAAATGTATGCAATCAAAGCATTCTATCTAACCATAGATGTTGAAGAACTATAGCTGTTTACTTTCCCCAGGCACTAAATTCTAAATGTTGTTCTCTCTTTCAGTTTTATTTTATTATTGTTTTTATTTTCATGTTATTTCTTTTTCAAGTATTGCATTGAAAGGGTTTACCTTTCCTACTTAACACTCTCCAATTATAATGCGGAACGAGAAGATTCATTTCATTCCTACTTATAGATGTCGAAGTTGATTACTCGTCGTCGGACTGTGACCAATGCGCCTCCCACATTATCAGCATCTACTGCTCCAGCCGTGAGTGCTCCATTGATTGGGGAGCCTACACCCAATGTTGAGGCTACTTCTACGGTGTCCCAAGTGCCCGTCTCATCGACGTCATCAGTGTCCGTTGAGTTGCTCAGTGCACGGCGGCCTCACCGACGCTGCCGGGACCCAGAGCCTTCTGATCAGACTTCCTCGGCATCCAAAGTTGAGGGTGAGGCCTTCCAGCCACCAGGTAGTTTTTTCTAATTCTCACTACGTTGTAATTTTTTTTTTCATTTTAAAACTATTATTTTTATGATGATGAAAATTTGCTGGATTGTGAAAATGTGTTGCGGGTTGTGAATTACTATTATTTTACTGTTTTAAGGTTTTGGGAAATGCTATTACTTTTATGATTGTGAAAATGTGTTGCGGGTTGTGAATTACTGTTTTAAGGTACTTTTATGATTAGGGGAGGTTTTGCCGAATTTTATGTACAAATTTAAGCTTAGGGTGTTTACCATTTAAGTTTTTTTGGGCAGCTAAAAAAAACACCAGGGGACCCAATCGAATGTTGAAGGAGCTACAGCTTGTACGTATGTCTGCCTTCTTGATCAAGATTGCGTATGATGAGCGACATCGTGGAGTGGTTACCTCACAGCAGCATAACAGCGTCGTTAATTGCTGTGGTTTTATTATTAGGAATTTTTGTCCTATGCAGTGGGAGAGTTGGGCAAAAATTCCCGAGGAGACAAGGACCCTGGTGCGAGACAATTTGGAGGTTAGTATATTAATTTTTAGCAAAGTCAACATCTTTCTCTGCTTAAACTAGTGCAGGGCCATCATCTTGATTAGTAAAGTCAAGATCTTTCTCTCAATTTCTGTTTGGTTGCTAAGAAAATGTAGGGGGGAATGAGAAATCAGGTGCATTTCATTGTTTTGCACCTGATAGCCGAGTGTTGTTGTGGTGAATAATTTGGTCATGTATTTTGCACACTCTTCTTCTGTTCATAATTGGGAGCAGGTGTGGTCCTTTAGTTTTGGTTAATTTCAGTGATTTGCGGCACTGTTCTTTGTTGTCTGAATGCTTCCTGGGAAGGAAATTGAAAAACAATTCCGTGAACCATTGTTAAAATAATGATTATGTTGGTTAGGTGGAAGGATTACTATCTTATCTGATGCATATTTATGGGTTTTTAGTTTTGGTCTACGTCCTTGCTTAATGATTTATGATAGTGTTTAGGTGAGTATGCATGCCGTCTCTAGTACATTGCTTTGCTTGTGTTGTGCATCAATTAACCTGATCCATAGTATCCACTGGTTGAGCAGCATCGTGATACCTAAACATTATGCCTATACATGATGTTTTGTTTTAATCATTAAGTGCTTCTTGGGACTGGCTATACTAATCAAATAATCGATCTTTTACCGAGCGAGTCCTATGTATGGTTCTTGACTTTGCCTCAATTTGATAGTGAATTGTTTTTAGTTGTTGTCCTGGTTTTATTTATTAAAGTGAACTACAAAAGCAGCCTTAAATAGTCGAGTTAAATCCTTTGTTGAGAAATTGTGCTAAGGAAAGGAATTTGATAAATAATTTGAGTGTTAACCTTATGGTTTGAACATTAAAGGTTTGACACTTGTCAATGTACAATTCTGCAGTAGTCGGTGATAGTGAAATGATATTGATTTGATTTCATGGTAAAATGCGAGTCAATAGTATGGCCTTGTTCGTATCTCGGTGATATTCTAAGTAGATGGTTTGGTAGATTGAAATGAAACACAGGGGATTATGTAGAAAAATTGTTGGAAGCAGAATACCGGGATTGTTTATTGTTCACCCCCTTTAGTGATTCCTGGTAAACCATCAGTTGTCATTCAGCTTACCAAACTTAAACATGAACAAACACCTTGGCTAGTGTCCTGGGCTACAAATCTTGTCGTACAAATTATTAAGTTTCTGCACTGAGTTTTGGAGTCGCTAACGGGGTTGTCATTGAGGAGATCCCGATAGTATTATCGTGCTGAACCTTTTTATTAGTTGTGCTGTTGCTAAGCAGTAAGTAAGTATCAAGAACACTATTTATTAGCTTTTGTCCTTCTGTATTCCAATCCATTTTGTCCTCTCAATATTAATCTGTTAAAACAGAAGAAAAAAAATGAAAAAAATTCTGTGTTCATAAGTGTACTCATGACTCAGTGAAAGAGTGTGAAGTGGGTGTGTAGAGTTATTCCTTGCAGCCATCATCTTATGTTTGAAGTCCAAATTATGTTGCGAAGAAACCTTTGTTGAGGTTCATATTTGGATTTAATATTTAGATGAGCTTAATTATGATGAAATGCCTGCCATTTCAATTTATCATTTTGCAAAGAAACATATAAATGCGACTGCGTTTTAAATTTTTAGTACCATTTTATGGAATCACCATTATTGTATTCTTGGTAGCCTGTCTTACCTACCTTTGTTTTTCCCTCTCCTTCACATTTCTATGATCATCATCCATGATGTAGTTTGTATTGGTGAGAAGATTTAAGGTTGAATTTCCACCTTTGGTCTTTGTACCGGTGGAAAGAGGCTCGCATGGGAGATCAGAACCCCACTCTTGAGATCTTTCAGAAAATAAACATTATATTGTTTGCTTCCTAACAAATTAAGATTCTAGTTATTATTGTAAACCGACAAACTTTATCAATACCTTATAAACTAGTTGTCAATTATTCTGATACATGGTCATTTTGTTTGTCATTTTGTTTTTCATATTTGTAGGTCGTTTTTGAAATGGAGGACATATCCCCTGAGGTCAGTGCCTACTTAGAGGAAACCTTAGCAAGCCGGTACAAAGATTGGAAGAGCGTTCTTCACAAGCATTTTCAGCTATGGGAATCTCCGGAGATTGCTCGCCTACAGGGTTGCCCACTCAGCTATGGATGAAGTTAATAATAATTTATTGTTTTTGTTATTTTATTTAAGCTTTTTTTAATAATTTCTTTCAAATAGTCGCACTAACATCTATATTGTATGTTTAACAGAAGAAATATGTTGATGGCAAGAAAGCTCGGGACTCAAAGATACTTCTCCACCATTCTGGTTCGAAGCCCTTTTCGTATAGGGTTGAGGCACGACGTGAGGTAAAAGTATATTAATTTTGAAATTTTATACAATTTATTTTTTATTATTGATTAATAAAATTTTCTTAATGTTTTTTTTTCTTTAGGAGGGTTCTAAGTTCCCACAGATTGACTTGTTCAAGCATGTTTATGTTCATCCCAACAATGAGAACAGTGACCAACTTTATGTAAGTATATGTAATTGTTATTTTTCTTATTTTTATGAATCGTTCAAATATTATTTATATTTTGTTATTAAACATTATATGTTTTTTTTTTATTATTACAGGGTGATATGGTGGAAAAGAGCACTGCTATTCTCCAAGAAGCAACATCGCAGCTTTCCCCAGAGACCCCGATCGAGGACGTCATTGTACCCAAGGATGCAGATGTTCAGATCATGACTGAGGTTCTGGATCAGAAGTGTGGTCGTTGTCATGGTAAGGTTGTTCGGTGTACGGGGAAGGCGGGGGTTCGTGAAACGGGTGCCTCTTCTTCCAAATTGTCCACAGGAAAGGTCAATTCCTTGAAGGAGGAAGTGACAACCCTAAGAGGTCAGGTTGCGGCCTAGGGCGACCATATTAAGGCCCAGGACGAGAGGATGAATATGATTGTTCAGGCCTTAGCGATGTCCGGCCTCCAAATCCCGACGATGCTAGCACCTAATGTTGCTCCAGCTTCGACTTCCCAGCCATTTCGCCCAGACGATATCGAGTAGCATGATGTATTAAACTTAGAAGACTTGTAGTTTTTTATTTTTTTGTTCGGACAAACGTACATTTTCATATATTCTATAATTAATTACTTTTTCATGGTTTATTAATAATTGTTCAGAATTTAATTATAATATTTATAAAAAATTAAATGACAAAATATAAATGACAAAAAAAAAAAAAGGTTTGCACGACGCAGAGCCTAACTACGTCAGCTACTTTGCGCGACGCAGGTCTTACGTCGCGCGACGTAGTTAGTCTCGTCGCCCTAAGTACATTTGCGCGACGCAGGTCTTACGTCGCGCAAAGTAGCTTTACGCGACGTAGTTAGGAGCGTTGCGCTAAGTAGATTTGCGCGACGTAGGACCTGCGTCGCGCAAAGGTACTTAGCGCGACGTAGTTAGGGGATGCGTCGCACAAACCCTTCCTTCACTGCCTTCGCGTGACGGTTCTTGTGCGACGAAGGTTCGTTTGGCTAATTTTTGGGCGACGTATTTTTGACTTTGAGCGACGACGGTCCTACGTCGCGTAAAGTCTTTTTTGTACTAGTGTTTAGTTGTTTTAAGCTATTTTGAGTATTTTAAGTTTGCTTTGAGTCTTGTGAGTCTTGTTAAGTATTTTTAAGTTTAGTTTTATGTTTTTAAGTCAGTTTAGAGGTTATTAGCAAGCCCTCCTAATCCCCGGTCCAGAACGATCCCTACTTATACTTGTACTACAATTGTCAAAAGAGGATTAAATTTGTGTGTTAAGATAATTTTTGCATCAAGCCACGTCAACATTTTATATTACTATTCATTTTTGTCTTATTATCTCTATAAAAAAAAACAATATAAAATGTTGACGTGGCTTAACCGTGACCACACAAAACAGAAGGGCACCGGAAGTGGAAGGGCAGACAATCCTTGTCCTTAAGAACCATATGGCTATCTGATTTTGGACCTAGAAATGCCCACCAACCGTTCAATGAAATGTTTGCTCGGCAGACTCGGCAGATGCTTGACATGATTCAATAGCACGACGTGGCAGCTATTGAAAAATATCGACGACATGCCTTTGTAGATTTTGACAGATATTGACAATGTCATAACATCTGATGAAAGATACCTATAGCATGCCTCATTCAAGATACCAAAGAATAAATTACACGATGTGCATGCTATTTCGGTCTTTAAATAATGTAAACAATTTACATTGCAATTCCGTGGTATTAGAATTTTGAATCCGCCATTGCTTTATCATCTAATTTTTCTCTAAGACATGATATACTCTCACTTCAGAGGGATTAAGTATTCATAATGAATTTAAAGTTTTTTTTTTTTTTTTTTTTGGAAACTAATGAATTTAAAGTTTGAGAAACTACCAAATAACCCATTTGACCGCCGGATTAAGTATTCACTTTTTTTTTTTTGTGCTAAACGATAAATTTGTTAAGATTAGATGTTAATTTAAGGAGTCGACGAAATTCGAACTCACGCTGTGGTGATGAAGAGGGCTACTTGCTCAATTTTTTTTTTAAAATTAAATAATGAAAATAATTACCAAACAAAATTTTAATTTTTGATTTTCAGAAGAAGTAAAACCAAAAGCTGAAAACTAAAAATGGTTATCAAATGGTTAATTCCTGATTAATTCCAATGGCAAATGTTATTCCCTGCCCAATGCCCAAGATGGTATCCAATGCGGTTAAGCACGTTGTTGTGCACACCGACAAGGAGGGGAGAGACAGAGATAAAGAAATGATCGGATATAGAGCAAGTTTTGGGGTCACAACTGTGGGAAATGGATTACTTCATGTAATCCATCACATCATCAGAATGCAGCTCAACAAGAATAAATTTGGGTAATTCTGAAATCTATTAAATAGGGGTTACATAAGAGCAAGTCCACCCCAAGGGGTAGGTCGGCTTCAAAGTGTGAAAAATGGACCGGCATCCCCCCAAAACACTCCTAGGCTGGCCTTCAGCCCAAGCTAGGTCATAAGCCGGCCCAAAATATGCTGAAGCAATCAGCTAGCCTATGTGACGTTATGCTGACGCCAATGTGACGTCACATCACACTGATATTTTTTTTTACATCAGGCGCATGGGAAACAATGTGCGCGTAGGCGCGTGTTGTGGACTGAAAACAGGCAGTGGAGCCTGCCATTGCAGGCACTACAAAGGGCACGGGTAGAAGCCATGTGGCTCGTTCTAGGCCGTTGGATTTCCAACGTCTTGTTTTCTGGACCAGTTGGATTTCCAATGGTAAAAAAAATTGAATTTGAAAACCAACGGCTAGTGACATGGCGTGATCAGAGCCATTCGATCAAGAGATCAAAATTATGATCGTTGGCCATGTGTCAACATTTGGGCTGTTGGATTTGAATCTTTTTCAAATCCAATAATCCAGATTAATTAACTAAATTAAAATTATTAAAAATTAATAAACAAATACTAAAAAAATTAAAAAAAATTAATTTTTTTCTATAAATACCTAACCCTTATCTCCCACCTTACACCACATTTTAATATTTTCAACACTTTCAACCAAAGCTTTCATATACTTTTTGTGTGAAAAAAATGGTTGTGTGGAAGCTCATCGAAGATGTTTCGTTTGTAAATGCTGGGTTCAAATTACTCATGACCTGATTACGGGTAATGAGATGGAGTTGCGAGTAATGTGGAGTAGAATTACGGAAGCGTTTTGCGCTAGGCTTGGAAAAGGTGCCAGAAAGAGTCAAAGTCTTCAAGGTTGTTGGAAAAAACTCAACATATCCTTTACTAGTTAGAAAAATGCTCTCTCGATTGCTTTCCAGTAATTTGCATAGTGGGACAAGTTTAGCGGATCAAGTGATAATATTTTTATTTATTTATATGTATTCCATCCGGCATCAATATTTTAATTTATTTATTTGTCTTACACCCTGCATTTTATAATATTGTCTTATCCCACATTTTGTAGACACTACAAGAGAGACGTGATGCGGCGGCTGAGAGTCAACAAGAAATACTTAATCGAGAAAACAAGATGATTAGAGAAGAACTTAATCAAGAAAATAGAAAACGAGATGCTCAGAGAAGAAATTATGGCTCTAGCAAGATCGTGACACTATGAACAAACCTCTAGTAGGAATGTCTTTCGAATTCAAAATATTTTTGGACATCGGAAAAAAAGAGACGTGGTGCTAAGGAGGCGTGCAAGAGACGCGGAAACAAGTCGAGGGGTTTCTAGCTACACAGATCCTAGCCAACGAAGATCCTAGCACCACATATCCTAGCTCCACAGACTTTGTATAATTTCATATTTATTTGTAGTACTTTACTTAATTTCTTCTTTATTTTTAGTACTTGTAATTTCATCTTTATTTTTAGTACTTTATTTAATTTCTTATTTATTTATAGTACTTTATGTAATTTCTTATTTATTTGTAGTACTTTATGTAATTTCTTATTTATTTGTAGTACTAGATGTAATTTCTTAAATATGTTTAGTACTTTATTTAAACACATCAAATAAACTTAAAAAAAAAACACACTAAATAAAATTACATAAACTTCACCAAATAAACTTAACAAAACACAATAAATAAAATTACATAAACTCACCAAATAAACTTAAAAAAAAAACACACTAAATAAAATTACATAAACTCACCAAATAAACTTAAAAAAAAAAAACACACTTAATAAAATTACATAAACTCACCAAATAAAATTTAAAAAATACACTAAATAAACTAAGAACTTTATTCTTCCACCACAAACTCCTTTTAATTATCTTCACCTTGTTGCAATCCCCACTGGTGCTCAATCAAGTCATTTTGACGGGTACAGTGCCAGTGTGGCTCTTGCATTGAAGTGTACCGCTCAACGATCAATTGATTGTAAAATCCATCCAGTTCCAATGGCTATTTCGAACCATTCATACAAGACCTGGAGTCAACTCAACAACCATACAATAGAAAAGATAATAAAGAAGGATTTGGAGTCTACGATTTGCTCTAAAGTGCGGATAACAAATTAAAGGGTGTCCACTCAAATCTCCTTGTAACTTTTGCCTTTTGAAACTTCTTCCCTTCTGAGTTCTTGCTGCATACTTGTGTTATTACTCATGCTGAGAGTTTCATTTTTTCTGTGTTTTCTTCTCATAAAACTTTCTTTATGCGTTGATAAATATAGCAGAGATGACTTCCCTCCAGGCTTCGTGTTTGGTGCTTCCTCCTCTGCTTATCAGGTTCTTCTTTTTATGTATACATGTATTCATATATGTGCATATATATATATATGCATACAAATTATGGGATAATAAGAATTTTAATTAGATATATCTTAGTATCTCACATTAATATAAGCCCCTATATATATATATATATATATGGTTTTGTATGTATTACTAGTCCTACGCTTCAATTGACAAAGAGAAGAGAAGAAACTGATGGAATGGGGTTGGTTCAAAACTAATTCTACATGAATAGGTGGAAGATGCTGCAGACCAAGACGGAAGGACCCCAAGCATCTTGGACACATATGCCCATGCCGGTTAGCTTCCACTATTTTTATATCACATTTTCCATATAATATTATGAATTTTTTATCTTGTTCCGGAGTATGATGGGATACTTCCAATTTTTTAACTATTAAATCTTCATACAAAAATACAAAATCAAGAACGGATCATAAGTCTAAGTGGTTAATTATTTACTGTTTTCATTTCTAATTTATAACTTGTGAAAGGTGAAGACCTGGTTTTGTTTATTGAGGCTATGTGTGGTTAACTAGATTAACTAGATTAGAAAAATGATATTTAAACACATAAAAATAACACAGGTGGATCTCACAGTAAACTATACGATCCACCTATTAGAGAGTTAGTTAGCAAGTGTGAATGTAGTGCATCCAAATAAAATTGATTAGGTTAGAGTATTGCAACTTTAGGATGCTGTACCTACTAGGTGAACAATTTTAGATTTAAACAACTGTACTACTGGACTGTCCGCAGTTAGAGTACATACATCTTTTCGTATGATTAGTTTAGGCTAGTTGAAAATTGTTATATAACTAGAGGTTACAGCCTTTTTGAGAGTGATTAAGGTCTTACCAAAATCACTTCTAGAGCGTTTGGTAAAAA